TCTGACTTTGATTTAATTAATGAACTAGACCTTAAAGCTTTAGAACACAAATCTCTCCTGGTGATGGGCTGTTGGCTGCGGAAGGGAGGGAGCCAGTGCAGCAGTGTGACCTGACACTGAGGGAAGTCCAGCTCAACTCACTTTACTACTTGCTGTATATAAAGAAGGCAGCTCTTCCCAGTTGTCAAATGGTCAAACAGTATGTGAAGCAGACTATAGGTCATTATTCTGCTAAGGAAGGAAATTTTCCCAGGGTAGTAGTAAGGTGTTTTATCATCTGCAGAGTTTTGCTCATCATCTCTCTGACCCTTTCTGCTTTAAGTTCAATTCCACCCTGAGCTCTATTTCTGCAGGGTTGCTCCTCATTTTCTACCTGAAGGTTGAGAAAGAAATTGCAAACTCAGGCACGACCTATAAATAGGCAGGTCTTCCTATTTCTGTTGTTGTTTTTGTCAAGTCCAGTGGTTGGGATGGATTAGTATTTACACAGGGGAAAATGCCACTTTGCCACTTTGCAGTTCAGATGCCAGTGCAGCTATCTGAATGGTGAAGTGGCAAAGCCTGAGTCAGTGAGAGCTGTGCTGAGAGCATGAAGTCATCAAATAGGAGAGATGCTAAGTGTCAGTGCTGCCTGGGGCTCCATAAGCTTAGAGCTTATTAGTTTGGGAGAGGAGAAGGGGCAAACCCTAACAATGACCTTCTAAGTGCTTGAGTATATACACAGTAATGCACTTGATACGATTTAACTTTTATGAGCCCATGTGCCAGGGATTTCCTGTCTATGCTAAGTGTAAGCTAAAGGTACTGGATCCTTCATCTAGTATGGGCTTCTGCATGAGATCAGCAGCTTCTTCTCTCCTCTGAGATGAAATGGGACCTTTGCTATTAGAAGTGTTGGTAATAGGACAAAGATCTTATTTCCCTCAGAGATGAGGACTAAGTGCTCTCCAAGACCTGGTTTTCTTTAAGTGCCAAGAACAACAGGGCAGCAAGGTCTCTTGCCCTATCACTAGAGGTATCTAAGGACAGGTTGGATGGAGCTCTGAGCAACCCGGTCTAGTGGAAGGTGTTTATGGAAGGGGAATTGGAAATGGATGATCTTTGGGGTCTCTTCCAATCCAGACCATTCTTTGAAATTTCACACCCTTTCCCTTATGAGTGAAAAATAGTTATTTTATATATTAAGGCACTAATTTGCAGTGGTTTTGACTGGGGTATAATCTTTTGCTGTTGCAGGGAGCCATGCAAAGCAGCCACTTCTATCACAGAGCTCAGAAGGACCTGTTTTACTTAAACATTCTTGTTTTACAATGAGCATCATGGTTTATGTACGGTGACAATTGCTCCTCACCATGTGAACTTTTGGATTGCTGTGCTGAGCAAAATCTGCACAGTTTTCTTCTAAACGCCTCTCTTTCTTAGCATAACTCATTACTCACAGTGTGCTGCTCTAATTTATAGATGGCTGCGCCTCAAGGAATGAAGTGACCTCTGTCACTATCACATAAATAAGGCTTAGGAATGCCAGGATTTTCATATCAGATGGAGTAGGCTTCTTTCAGAGTTTATATAGAAATAGTGGCATGTTATAGATTTATTTAAGGCTGCAATAGTAAACATTATGCTGCCAATATTACTGTCTGAAATAACTAAATTGGAGCCCAAAGATGTGGGTAAAAATGGACACATGATGACTATTAAAAAATAACTGGCTGTTTAGTCAATACAAGTTCAAGAACGTTGGCTGGTAAATCTCAACTCTTCTCTAAGGTTTGACTGTGTATTAAAATATATCAATAGCTATCCCATTATGTGACTGACCAACCACCTGGAGGCATTTTGACAGATACAAAATATAGTGTAGGTATCAATCACCAAAAAGGTGATTTAAAAAAAAATTCTTGCTTGCCTGTAGTTTTTTTATCAAGAAATAAACAAAGAGGATGGTTATGAATCCATTAAGACCAAAGGCAGGTTATTGTGCAGGTAGAGATGAAGAGTTAAAAAGGTTAAGACATGCAAGCAGTTCTAAAAACACTGCAAATTCTGTGTGCTAGGGGACAAATTTTGTGTCCTGAGGGACAAATTCTGCTCTGAATGCCACTCGTGCAACCTGACAGTGCGCAGCCCTGGGGATGTTGCCAGTGGGCTATGCATGGACAAAAAAGAACTGGAAAGTGTCCCTGATTCATTGTCTCCTCTCTAATGTGGCTTTTGTGAGTGGGGACCTGTCCTTTGAAGCTATCCAAAACAGAAGCCTTTCACCTGTATCTTTCATGGGCAGATGGCAATTACCAACTGCCTTTGTGCAGCAGAGTTTGGTGCTCAGGGTGTGATTCTCCCTTCAGCAGCATCACTTTTCCTCTGGGGTAACCCTAACAAGGCTAAATTTCTTCAGATTTACACCACTGGAGGTGAGTCTTCTCCTTTCTGACTCTTATTAGACACCAAGACTGGGATGGCAAACACAGTGAAATGCTTTTTCTAATCTCGATACTGTAAAACTGAATTCTCAGTTAAAGCTGAGGCTTCTTCACTTGATTTTCACACACAGTGATTTATGGATAATTACAATTAGTCAAATAGGCCATGAAGACCTTTAAAAAAATCTCACAAGGAAGAGAACATTTTAGTCTCACTAAACCCACTAAATTAAACACGTAGTTTCAGCAGAGGACAAAGAAGGGCTTACTGAAAACTTAATATAATAAAAATGGTCTTATAAAGATTTGGCAATGCTACTAGTTAACAGAACTATATTTTCTCTGAATCCCTCAGGATTGTTAAAACTAGATTTGAAGTGATTGCAAGTGAAATTATTTTGATGAAAATATCTCTTCATAACACAAACTTGTCTTCAACTGGCAGAATCGTCTGCCTCGTGTTAGAGTATGTGAGGGCAACATCAGTCAGATTCTGAACTCAGGAGGCATAATTATGAGGTCTAGATTGTGCTGCTGTTATAAATGATTCATCCCTTCAAGAACTGTAAAAAAAGAAGATTTAGAATAATTTCTTCAATATCTTAAACATCTGTCCAGGGAAGGATAGGATACACCTGCCTAGAAGAGGCACAGGAATCTTTGGCAGCAGTGTGGACAACTCAGTGAGGTGGGGATTAAACTGAAGGACTCAGGGATGGAGTCCAAAGTGGCAATGCTCAGCCATTGCAACCAACTGGGGAATAAGTCAGGCCAACCAGAGCAGAGAGATATTGGGCCTAACGTTAATATCTTCATAAGTGATCTGGAAGGTGGGATCAAGTGTACCCTGACAGAGTTTGCTGATATCAAACTGAGTGGGGAAATGGACATCTGGGGAGGAAGAGTCAGCTGGAGGAAGACCTGGGTAGGCTGGAAGAGTGGGCTAACAAGAACTTTATGAAATTCAGCAAGGACAAGCTTAAGGTCTTGCACCTGGGAGTGTGGCACAGGCTGAGACCCACTTGGCTGGAGGGCAGCTGCACAGGCTGAGACCCACTTGGCTGGAGAGCAGCTCTGTGGAAAGGCACCTGGGTGTCCTGGTGGACACCAAGCTCAATATGAGTGATCAGTGTGCTACTGTGGCAAAGAAAATCAACACAATACCAAACTGCATCAACAAAGGCATCACTAGCAGAGATAAAGAAGTCATTGTCCCACTACTCAGTGCTTCTCAGGCAACATCTGGAATACTGTCTTCAGTTTTGATCACCACAATACGAGAAAAAAGATATGGACAAGCTGGAAAGGGTACAGAAAAGGGCCACAGAGATGATCCAAGTCCTGGGAGGCTGACATGTGAGGAAAGGCTAAGAGAACTGGATTTATTCAGACTTGAGAAAAGAAGGCTGAGAGGAGAACTCAGCAGACTGCCTACAAAGAAGATGGAGACTCCCTTTTTACAAGAAGTCACATGGAAAAGACGAGGGAAAATTCTGATTAGTCACAAAAGGGAAATTTTTGTGCAATGAGAACAATCAGCCTTTGGAATAAAGTCCCTAGGGGAGTGGTGGATTCCCCAGCATCGGACACTTTTCATGTTCAGCAGAACAGGGTGCTGGGCTGCCTTGTCTAGACTGTGCTTTTGCCAAGACAGTTTAGACCAGATGATGCTTGAGGTCCCTTCCAACCTGTTATTCTACGGTTCCATGATTTCAAAGAAGAGCTGCAAAATGCCAAGCCTATTTCCAGCCTACTTTTAACACAGGACCATTAGTCCTGTTTATTCTTTCGGTTTGTTGTAGCATCACTAATAGCCCTCTGCCTATAAAAGCTAGGAACCTGATTTAACTTTTTAAGTCTTGTTTCTGTACCATGAAAGGCCATGAATTTGTACAGAAGTCAATCTTTTTTTCACGTCTTGTATTGGTTTCTGTTTTGCTGTTGCTGATGTTGAAACTAGATCTGTGTTGCTATGTAAGCCATCAAATATGCTTCTTAAAGATTGTTTTATAATGAACTCTATCTTTCAGCATGCTATTGAACCAAGAATTTGGAATCAGAGAGGCAGAATACCATGAAAGAGACCATAAAATAAACCTCCCTCCATTTTAAAATGTACCATCTTTTCTTTTCTGTGAAAAGATGTTATTGTATCTCTGGTCCATGGATATAAAAATTACTGAGTGCATATAGCTGAGCTTGCCTCTACTGCAAATTCTCACTGCTGCAAGGTACAAAAAGTACTAAGCAAAAATTGGCTCAGGCACATGTACCTACCACTTATACAAACTTCACAGCATTCAAGCTGTAATGTAAGTGCAAATACTCACGTTGCCTTTAGAAAGTAGTAAAATACTCTCAGTAAACTCCCTGCAATTCAAAGAAGTGTTACAGGTCTCGAATCTGGTTAATGTTATTTAAAAATCTTGTTGCAAAAGTGTTTCAGTAATTTGTTTTGTGCAGTGGTTGTTAAGTATAGTGAGGAGCAGCACTAATAAAAACACAATAGAGAATTAAGAAATTGATTTGATGCCCCTGAGATTTTGACCTTTTTTGCTGAAGGTGAGGTAGCATTACCGTGTCTCCCAATCTGAGATTTGTGCCATCCATCTCGATGTAGGAAAACAACTGCAGGGTGGTCTCACGATGGATCTGCTCTCTCTTGCCAGGGGTGGAGATGTGTGACCAAACCACCACATACTGCAGTGGTGGTTTGGAGGAGGAGTGGCTGTAAGTGCACTTGAGGTGGACACGACCTTGCACGAGCTCAGGAGTTATCACTGGTTGCAAAGCCAGTCTTATGAGCTTGTCTGGAAGAGGGAAACAAAAGAAGGATGTAGCACAAAATGTTATTATAACTTTACAATTGTTCACCTAACAAGAAGGTGTCAATATAACTAAACATGGGAGAAACTACATTTTATATTCCTGTGATTTGGTTCTTAACTATGCAAGCAAGAAAATGTATTTCATATGAAATGCAAAAATCGCTAATTGTGTTCTGACTACCCATTGTTGCTATAATATTTGACCTGCTTTTTTTTGTGTGCGTGTGGAGGGTTTTTTCATTTTGCAGTTAGAGAAATGTTATTGAAGTGAAGCACTCAGATTAATACAAATTAATTACTCTGGCAAAGGCCATCAGCTTTGCATTTCCCTGAAGCACAGCCTTTTGATCCAAGTTTTGCAATAAGAACAGAAGAGATATGAGAAATCATTATGTTGCAGAGGTAAACTGACTCTCAGAGAGCACCCAGCCCATAATGCCATGCTGTGAAGAACCTTTCCAGGCTCTTTTGGGATGTATCTAGGCTAGGTCTGCTCAATATAGTCTCCCTCTGCCCAGAATAATGCCACTGCTCTAAAAATACAGCCTGCTTTCTGTAGGCTTCAACAAGTAATGAAGTCTGAATTCTTTCTTCCTGTTAAACTCACCTAGAAAGTAGAAACAAAAAGATGTATAATAGTGTAGGGCGATGTTCTTTCATCTCTAGAGACCTGGACTCAAGTGGAACATGAAGCAAGTTCAGATGCTTTGAAAAGATAAATTAAGTAACTTTTTTTGGAGTAGCATGGAAATACTGTGGGAACCCAAGAGAGTAAAGTGTGAAGCTGTTACAGCACAACAGGGAGCCAATATGTTAACAACCATCCAGGGCAAATGGCAAAGGGTAAGAAACAGAAACAAGTTACATAAATACGAATATGGGCCAGTTGTTTATACCCTTTTCTATTTTGTTTCTAAGAGAATCTGCCTCACACTGTGGCTCACATCATGACTTTCTGCAGGAAATTATTCCAGAAGGACAAAGTTAGGTGATCAGCTCATGGGAGGACGTGAGCAGAATTGCAAACACAAATGCTGCTTTTCCCAGCCGTGTCCTATCTGCCAAGTTATGAAGCTTTAAATTCATTTTTGTTTTGCAGCTCAGAAGTGCTGACCAGTGTCTTGCTCTCAAGCCTCCAGCAGAAAGGGCTGGGGAATTGACCCTAGCACAGAGCCGTGACAATGCCAGCTGGATCTGGCTTTGGGACTGTGTAGAGACTCCTGTGATGCAATATTTACAGCTGAAATTAAGATAGCAAAGTAAAAAGCTCCAGAAAAATCTTCAGCTTTGGGTATTTTCTATCCAACATGTAGCACTGCATAAAAATCCTAAAGACAAGAAGTTGAAGACTCAGGAGGGCTGGACCTCACTGAAATGCCTGTGAAAAAGGTAGAAGTTTCAACAGCAGTGGTAAGAAAAAGGCAGAAAGTCATTGGTTTGGGATAGATGGGAAGGGATAAGATTTCTTTCATAAAAAAATGCAGGCAGATTACATCACTAAACAGGTATGGATCAACAGAAAGGACAAAATTAATCACCCAAAATGTATTGGAAAAAAAATCCTTTGAACAAGGGGAGTGGAATTCTTATAGTTTATAAAAAAGTCAAGCTTTCACTGAAAAATTACTCTATTCAGTTAAAAAGTAATTTCTGAGAAGAATCTGTTTCATTTATTTTAATGGGTATTTTTTTTTAATTTCAAATAGTGAATTAATCTCATATTCTTTGAGCCTTTCTTCCTTCCTCTTCTTCATGTGGGAATGTTAAAATATTGATAAAGATAAGAAAATAGATATCTTTCTCTTTAAAATTTATTCAAGCTTGGATTTTGCCTGCCTGAAAGCTGATAACCCTAGTTTCTCAGTGTGTCGTGTCTCTGTCCAAAAACGCTGAAAGGAATGTATAAAAGTAATTTTTTCATTTGGAGAAAGAAGTGTCTTTTCTGATGAAATCTATATGCACCTGAACATGCTCCAAAGTTCAGAAGGTTTAACTGAATGAGCAATTGCTTTCTGCTTTTGCTTTGTTTCCTAGCTACCGAACAGAGGTTACAGCTCTTGTAGCAGGCTGAAAATTATTTCTGACGAGAACAATTATATAAATGTCATGAAAAAGATTTTATCAGTTTGGGTTTTTTCTTTTTCCTTACAGAGTTTCAGATTCTTTTTTCTGGGGGGGGGTGGTAGGGGGGATACTGGATTATTACAGATAAGAACAAACCTTAGAGACAGTATCCTGGATACAATACCTCAATACAGCCAAGATGCCTCCGCTCGCTACCTGTGCAACTTCAAGTCAAAGTGGAGGCAAAGACAGTAGGAAAGGTTACATGTGAGCTGTAACCAAGCAAAGAACGCTTCAGTAACACACACCAGATTACATTTCGCACTGGTAATAAGAGCTATTCTTCAGGAACACCTTGGAGTGCCACTGATTTATTTTCTACACGGTCTGTGTCTTACTGGGAGTGATGCTTGACTCGCAAGGTCACCGAGATGTGCATTGCAACACCAGGACCTTTGAACACTCAGCCTGAGAGGCATAAGTAATCTTATTGATAAATACTTTACTGATCCTCACCTTCTGCACAGTAGCCCATGCATCCTTGAGTAGGCTGCAGGAGATACACAAAGAATTCACCACAGTTCCGGACAGCGATGGGTATCCGAAAAAAGCAGCAGTCCTTGGTGCCCCCGAAGAAGACCTGCCAAGTAGCACAGGCTGTGAGCCTCTTGCTCTCCCCAGGAACAGGTAGGGATTCAGACTTCAGTGACAGCCACACTGGAGCTTGTGTCCCACATTTATTCACCTGAGGATGCACAAAAAAGAAACCGTTTACAGCAAGTGGATAAGACTCCGTGGAGAATCAGTAAAATCCAAGAACTTGAGTGTGGTAAACCTGAAGGGTCAGTGAAAAAGCTGGATAGGTGAGGATGAAAATGGCTTGCTTGGTTTAGAGAGGTGATTTTACACAGATAAAATTCTCAAAACCACAATAACTGGATTCCAAAGTATTTTCCTCTGGTTTGTATGAAAAAGATGAAAGCCTGTAAACAGGCTAGATCCCTTCCCTGGGGAGCATGCACTGCACTACATCAGCTGGTGGCTGCACCCGTTCATCTGTGGCAGGGGAAAGCAAAGGCTGACAGCATTGAGGGGCAAAAAGGTGTTAGGACCATCCTGAAGCAGGACACATGCTCAGAGCATCACACCCCAGCACATGTAGCAAAACAGCTACAGCTTCAGCCCTACCCTTCCAGTACCTACTGGGCACGTCTTTGGGGCCTGGACCTCTACTTCATTCTTAATAAGAGACACATATGCAGGATGTACAAAAAACATGTGTGCAAGAGATGCATAATTTCATCAAATTTTCTTGTGTTTTTTGTTTCTTTGGGGCGTTTGTTGTTTTTTTTTTTTTTTTTTACTTTCAGGCTTTTATCTATTAACAAATTCCCTCAATACTCTGAATGCAGGAAATCACAAAGCAGAAGGCATTGAGCCTAAGTGGTTTAAATGACAGCATTTTAAGTCATGGCCTGGAGAGACTGATTTCCCCTTCCCAACTTACAGATGGATCTTCAAGCATCTCAGATCTGCCCTGCCCTCTGTACCTGTTAGGCTCTTTCCACTGACTAAAGGGATGTGATTCTCCAAAGCTGTCTGTAATTTAAGTATCTCAGCGAGGAGATTAGGTATAATCAGAGCCTTATTAAATATACAAAGCCAATTACAATGGTGACTCGTTATTCTGCACCATTACCTAGCACTTGCCAATATGCAAAGCATAGAGATAGTTGAGCTACGGTTTGAAAATTATTCTCAAATACTGACAATAATTTACCCTGATATATCAGTCATATTCAGCAGAGCGTGACTGCTGCCATCACTTTGAATTTCTTCATCTAGAGGTATCTTTTACTAGTCCAACTCCTCCCAGTGTGAGCATTTGGCTATAAATCACATTGAAAAAAAAGCCTCACCATTTTTTCCCATTGGCCCAGGTTTGCTGCTTCACTTTTAAGATCAAAAGTTGTTTGTGACAGCAGGGGAAACGGTGAAAGTCAAAGGATAAACTTATTAAGCCATGCTCCAGTGCCCTCCTGCCATTTGAATTGTACCTGTGAGCTATATGAGCCAGAAAACAGGGACAGGGGAGTGGGGGGACACACATAGAAAAGGAAAGGTATTTGAAGAAAATCAAGAATATGACATGACACAGTCTGATTTCCATTTGAACCTCGTTATTGTCAGGCTTCTGAAAACAAGGATTCCAGAGAGGCACCACTGAAATTGTCCAAAGCTTCTTTCTCCCCCTGAAATGTGGCAGCAGAAGAGCTGCCCCTGCCCTCCTGTTTGGAGTCCTGGTGTTCCTGCAGAAGGTGCTGGAGCTTGCACAGTGCAGCAGGTTCCCATGAAGGAGCAGTGTTCTGACATTGAGTTAACAAAGGAGAAGAGGGGATCAACATGAAAATGTTTTTAGGTGGAATTTCAGACCAATCCCTTCCCTTCCTTTCTTTAAAAGCCATGCTGTGCATAACTTTTTGTGAGGCTTCTTCTGTTTATTTATTTATAGCTTTAAGGGCCACAGGTGTTTTCTGTGCTGGGAAAAATACAGATGACAGGAATTCGTTGCATCCTGGTGAACTTCTGACCTAGAGTGTGAGATCTGTTGTGAAGTAGCATGTTCTCAAAGGATGTTTATGAGCATACACTTGTAATGACCCAGGAGTAGAGAAAAGAACATCCAGAGAAGCACAGGAGCAGAGAGGACAGCAACTGGAGCTCAGTGGTCTCTGCTTCATACACATCTTCTGGATGAGATACTTGCACCTTGAATTGCCTCTTACTCAAGGAAGCTGCAAACTTCACTGCCCCTGCATGTGTGAGCCAAGGCTGCTGCACTGGAATATTATTTTTGAAATGACATTAAAATGCAGGCAGTGCACCTTGATGGTGGTTTGTACCACACAAGCCAGGAAGAATTAGAGTTGGGGGAGCAGAGCAGCAGGGATGAGTGAGTGCTGAAGCTCAATAGATATGTGCAAGTGCACAGAGCCTTGAAGGAGATGGTTTGGTAAGCAGACCCAGCACAGCCTACCTGTTCCTCCTGGGCCATTCCTCTGCTCCTGCTGACCCCATGGCTGTGCTGGCACTTGCTGTCCAAGGAGCAGGACTAGCTGGCTCTGCCCATGCCATGGGAAGCATTCCCAGTGCTGCTAACATCCACTGCAAAGGGCTGTTGCCACCATTTACTGACATTTGGTTGCTGAAAAGTGATTTTTATTACTTTTGAGGTGACTCAATCTCCTGCTAATACCTGGAACATTTGCATACATGGCTCAATAAACTGAAAAAATACACTTAGGATGTCTGTAAAAGTCCTTTTGCTGCTGAAAAATAATCTGTGCATCTGTTTGATTCTGCCTTTACCAGTGTGACTGACCCCAACATATCAACACTGCTCCACTGGGAGTGTAACTGCTGGAGTGTCTCTGGCCAGGCACACACAGTGCCTCAGTTTCTCTGGCTGCTGCCTGACCTTGGGCAAATAACAAGTCACTTCCTCTCTCTGTACCTCACTTGCTTATCTCTTAAACAGAGGTGGAGGTGGCCAAGATGGTAATAGCACTTCCCTGCCTTGCAGCAGTGCTGAGAAGATAATTCATTAATGAGACACCCATCTATCTGCTGTGCTGTGGGCCATGGAGATAAACAGACAGATGTGAGTGCATTCTGGCTGGGAAAAAAAAAAAAGACAAAAAGTGATCCATACATGAAAGTGGATCTGTATCCCTTGTTAACACAGAGAGGAAAAAATAAAATGCTGAAATAAGAGGACAGTGATTTTTTTTTTCCTGCTGTTTTTATCCTCACCACAAGTCTCTGAGCCATTTCAGTGCTTGAGAAAGTGTGGATTAGCATCACTGACGTCAGGCTCCAGTGCTCTGTGCAGGCTCTCTGATAAACCCCTACTGGGATCCCCAGCACCCTGCATTTGTCCTGGCCAATCTTGCACTGAAATTGTTGGAGTGAGATTTTGTTATGTCATGTGCACAAATTACAAGCAATAATGAACCCTGCTGATGGATTTTGCACCCAGGAAAAGTCAGTGTGAGACAGCAAGTTATTGTAACAAACTGTAATACAGTACTATAGGCTAGTCAAGGAAGAGTTTTGGTAAAAATCAAGTATTTCTCTTTTCCTGGCAGCTCTATGACATACATGCATTTATTTTCTGCTTGAGCTGCACACTCTCCATCTGAGTCAGGCAAATTGCCCCATGCTAGCCAAAAAGATTTGCTGCATGAGACCCCTGTGAATTAAAAGACAGACCTGGGAAGGCAAGGGCAAATGTATATTCATGTATTCAAACAGCAGTGGAGATAAGAAAGGAAAACAAAGCAAAGACAAAATTATTTAGAAAAACAAAGTCTAGGACAAGAGGCTTCAAAGAGCCAAAATTTTTAAGCACCAGCTGTGGCACAATTAGCATTACATGTTTTAACTGTCATATGGGAAAGTAACCAGAAAATTGAATACAGAAGTAGCAAATGATTGACATTTAATATGGAGCATTTACCTGCAGTACAGTCACTGCTGCTCTGAGGATGTGGGAATCTCACACCAACATTCAGTAGCATTTCCAAAAGGAAGAAGAGGAATTACACAGAAGAGCAAACTCCACAAGTTTAGGTATCCAGTGACACAACTTGCACAAAGGAGAACTTCTCTAACACACAAAGGAGATTTTAGGCTGTTGCCAGGTTTCTTTAGTATCCTTGCATACTTTATCCAATGATAATTAAGTGGTGGTTTTAATCTTCAAAGCATTTTATAAGCCTTACCTAATTAATCTTCGCAACACCTCCATGTGGCAGGTAAACCTTCATAAAGTATTTTTGATTCATAATTAGGCACCAGCTAATCATTTAAATAACCCAATTTAGGAAACCTAAATAAAGAAATTAAATTTGTTCCCTCTTTGCCAAAACAAGGGGAGAAACCATTATTGTTTAATCCAATGGGGTCTCCTTGCATTTGGTTGGGGTTTGGAGCATCAACTATTTGATTGATTGAACACTATGGTTCTTCATAATTGCACAAAGAAATCAGGTTTGATTGTTCTTGTCACTTGGGCACTGCTGAAATTATGCTGTTAAAAATAAGTAGCACCATATGTGAGAAATGCATTGTTTTAGTTGGATAGAGATGGAAGGCTTTTGGGTATGCTGCTGCATGGCAGTTAAAGCATTGTGATTTTGCATCTGTTATCCACTCAAAAGTTTGCTTTGCCTTCATTTTTTTTTTTAAATTTCTTTGTAGTAAGTTAAAGTAAATAAGATTTTTTATTTCAGTCTGGGGCTGAACTCCACAGAAATCAGTTTACGTCAGGAATATCTGTAGCAGCAATTAAACCAGTGCCTGTCTTACGTTTCTTTTAAGCACATGCCTCTGAACAATAGAGGCTGTAATTGTAATTTCTACAGAAGGATTTCTGTATATCTGAAAAACAAACAGGAAAAACAAAACCTCTTCATACTACCATTATGATTTGGAATATTCACATATGTGTGCGAGGAAGAGAAGTGCGGATGAAATAACACCTTGAAAGTGTTGCTTGCTTTTAATTTCCTAGAACAATTGCAAATCAAAATAGGGATGGATTCGGAGGAAAATAAAAATTGAAACAAAATAAAGAATGAACAGTATGCAGCTGAGCTGCTATATTTTGATGGTGAGTATAAAATGTTCTACAACAGGTTAAGTAGAGGAGGGAATTCAAGTGAGTATGGCAAAAAGTAAATC